TGTGTCTCGGTATTGATCGGTGTTTGTCCTTCAGGGATCCATGGGGAACCTGGGATCAGAAGGTCAAAGGTCAGTCTCATTGGCCCACTCACAGCCTGGAGGTTCTTAATGATGAAACCCATTCATTGGTTCATTCCCTCCCTCAGGTGGCCTCTGCAGATGAAGTGGTGAAGACCATGATCGACCACATGACCAACCCTGACAGCCAATCACATCTGCCGCTGCAGTCAGGTGCTCCGGTTACAGACTCTCTGTTGTTACCGTGGCGTCAGTGCAGCCGGGTTTACCTCAGTGTTTGTTTGTGTGGTTCCAGGAGACACTGTGGTTCTGTGTGTGAACAACCTGGGAGCTCTGTCCTGTCTGGAGATGTCTGTGGTGACCGGAGCCGCCCTCAGCTGTCTGGGTGAGTACTCTGATTACTGATGGTCAGCGCGTTACCGGTCCAGTTAGCAGTAGCACCAGGTGGTCTGTGCTGGACATTCATTCACCAGATGGTTCGTTCTGCTGAAGCCTAACAGAAGCATTATGACATCAGTTACGTTTTTGGTCGTGAAACCAGAACAGGACGTCGGTCACGTGATGTGCTGGACTGATCTGTGGTTTCTATGGTAACAGAGAGCCGTGGCGTGGTGGTCACCAGGGTGATGTCTGGTTCGTTCATGACGTCACTGGAGATGGCGGGAGTGTCGCTGACCCTGATGAAGACCAACCAGGAGGTCCTGAGACTGCTGGGTGAGTGACAGACCTGAACGCTGAGTCATCGCTTCAAACCGGATCAGAGCACGACGCTAAAACTCTGCTTCATCAAACCACCGGAGCTGCTGCAGAGAAGAACCAGAGAGTTCTGAGGAGGTCACGGAGAACTCTGTCCAGATCGGGTGCATTTTACATGGAATGTAGTAAAGAACAGCAGCCTAGCTTAGCATAAAAACAGCTGGGGAAGAAGCTCTTAGCCTAGCTTAGCATAAAAACAGCTGACGTGGTGACAGAGGAATCACCTGCTCAGCTTCTAAACAGTGTTCATGTGACTCTTTGGAGGAAGTTCTTCCTGTAATATTTTAGACAGTTTCTTCGTTTAGTTTTGGACTTTTGAAAGTCTGTCTCAGTGTGTTGGAGCGTTCAGAGCCGTAACCTGCAGATAGGAACTCTACAGACTGTCTGGAAGGAGCTCCAACGCCCTCCAGAGCAGTTCATTTACAAGTTAAGCAAACAGGACAGACTGTTCAGCGATAAGCAGCAGAACAGCTCGTTTGTTCAGTCTGTCTGAAGTCACGTCTGACTTCAGGTCAGTTCTCCTGCAGGCGTCATGGAGCTTTAGTTAGACGCATCAGGATGCTTCTCCCTGGAAACTCGTTAGTGACTCTGGTTTCTAGGACATTTAAAGCATCTTTTCAGAAAGCTAGAACATCTATACTGTGGAAAGTTTCCATAATGTTTTAAACTAGAGCCATACGACCACATACAGACGGCTGCAGTGCCCCCTGGTGTAGCATGAAGGTACTGGTGTAGCATAGAGTCAGCTAGTTAGCTGTTAGCTAGTCAGCTAGTTAGCTGTTAGCTGTTAGCTAGTTAGCTTCTCTACTGAAAACAGCTTTTACTGCAGTTACCAATGATGCTACTGGATCAGATGGTGAACATGTTTTTTGTAATCTAGACTATTCTATTCGTATTAAAATGACCCAAACCCTGTATTAACACCACGGATCAGAGGCCACGTCCCTCTAGTCATACTGTCCCCGTTTCACATATGACAGACTGAGGATGTGCTAGCTGTTGTTGGAGAACCTCCGTGTGACTCAACAGAAAAGACCCGTTTGTACATTCATATTGTTCTGATATCAGCATAACTCAGATCGCTCGGGTCAGGAAAATAACTTCAGCACCAATTACAGATGAAATCCTCCCAGTAAAGACCTGAGTCATGGTGGGGTTCTGACCTGTGGGGTTCTGACCTGTGAGGTTCTGACCTGTGGGTGTCTGACCTGTGGGGGTCTTGGTGCTGGGTGAGCAGATATTCACAGGTTGAGTATAGAAGTGTGCTGGATTAGAACCACTGACGTGTCTTGAACCTCCTCATCCCGTCCAGATGCTCGGACCAGCGCCCCCGCCTGGCCCAACCTCAGCGCCGTCAGCGTGAGCGGACGAAGCTGCACCACAGAGGCTCCGGTCCTGAGCACCAAACCACAGGAGGACGCCCAGGACCAAGGTGGGTTCTTCCAGCCTGGATCACACAGAGTGACAGCGGTGTCAGACCTGTGAAGCCATCAGGGTTCAGCATCTCCAGGAATAAACCTCCACAGCTACAGAATAGTTTCATCAGACCAGAACGACTGAATGAGGACACGTTTTAATTACTGGTCCTGAAAATGTAAATCATGATCAGTCTCTGTGTTCATTCTGCCTGTATTTCCTACTACACTGACAAAGTAAGATAACAGGTTGTGTTCCTGTCAGGGCCGCTGAGTCCAGTGATGCGTGAAGCCCTGGAGAAGGTCTGCTCCACGCTGCTGGACAAGCAGGAGGAACTGAACTCTCTGGATCGTGCAGCGGGGGACGGAGATTGTGGCAACACTCACGCCCAGGCAGCCAGAGGTAGGAGCAGAGGAGCGCCGCACACGGTGACGTTCTCCTAAACACACTCTAAACTGTCACACCCTCCTCCAGCCATTCAGGAGTGGCTGCGGGGTCATGTGGTCCCCGGTTGCCCGGGGCGACTGCTGGCGGTGCTCGCCGGACTGGTGCAGGAGAAGATGGGCGGGTCTTCAGGAGCGGTGGGTCTGCTACAGGAAGCGAAGTCAGCAGGTGTCTTGGTCCACACCGACTCTAACGTCCTCTGATCTCTCAGCTCTACAGTCTGTTCCTCACCGCCGCCGCCGGCCACATGACCGAGGGGCGGAGCCACGCTGCAGCCTGGGCCGCCGCAATGCATGCTGGGACGCAGGCCATGAGAAGGTCCAGAGAAGATCTTGATGTTTGGAGTGTGTGTTGTCTTTGTGTCAGTGAGTCTGACGAGCTGCAGCCTCACAGATCAGTCACAGATCCATTCATAACTGTTTAAAACGGTATCATCAGACAGGAAGGAGTCTCCACCTCTAAAACTTTAAGCATAACTTTTTAGGCCGTTGGTCTGAAAGATGAGCTTCAGCGTTCAGAGACAAGACACCAGAGTGTGTTTAGTGGTGAAACAGTGACTGTCTGAGGCTCTGCTAACGTGTGTCTTCTTTATAAGGCTTCTCATTTATTCCACATCATTATTAAATTATAGGGAACAAATTGGGAAACTAAGTACTTGCAGCCCTTCCCAGACTCTAACTCTTATGACTATCCTCAGCTAAACGTGGTTTTACGTTTCCAGGTACGGCGGCGCTGATCCAGGAGACAGAACCATGGTGAGACTTCATTCTGTGAGTTATTCTCCTCAGCAGTGACCTGTTCACCTCACGCTGTCTCTCCTCCTGGTTCTGTAGCTGGATGCTCTGTGTCCTGCCGTGGACGAGCTGATGAAGCTGAAAACGGCGCCGCCTGGTGGACACATGGCCATACTACAGGCTGCTGCACAGGTCAGAACTGAGTGTTTACTCCACTTCCTGCTGGAAACGACATGAAGGAGCGACTCGCTCCTCGGACAGAGATGGACAAAATTATTCATAACCCTTGAAATTGTCACAAACATTTAAGAAAATGCAGCTTCTGTCCAGTTCCACTTTGTTCTAGAGCATTCCAGAAAGAACAACCATTTCAATATCAGCATGAACACGGTGTTGTACTGTCCCGTGTTCTGACAGGTAGACCCGCTGACTGAACGATAGCTCAGAACTGTCCTGATGATGAATAAAGTCATTATGATCATGCTGCTGATTTTTTACCTGCTGACCGTCTCACCTGTCCTCCAGAGAGCCGCCTCGGGGGCGGAGTCGACCCGTGACCTCACAGCGAGGGCGGGCCGAGCCAGCTACATCGCGGCCGAGCGCGTCACGCTGCCCGACCCCGGCGCCGTGGCCGTGGCTGCCATCTTTGCTGCTGTCCTGGAGGCGCTGCAGGGGTAGGAGAGAGACAGGACGCTGGACCACCAGAACCAGAACCACACGACCACATGGTCACTGTTAAGAGACAATGAAGCTTCAGACGCTGTAAACCTAGAACCAACAGGGTCCGTATTGTAATGTGATTACTTCTGATTAACGGGCTGGGGGGGGGTTAGACGTCTGAATCATGACGTGAACGTTCCTGGTTTGTACTGATGACACCAGGAAGAGATAAACTAGAACAGACTGATGCTGGTGCTGGAACACAAACATGTTCACGGTCATAACCACTGACTATAATCCATAATAACAATAATGATAATAATATAATCACTGACTATCTTACTGACGTTAACCTCTGACAGTGGGCTGTAGGCGTGTGATGATTTGGTTTAACATGTTTGAAGCAGGTTTTACACGTAAAGGGACCAAACTGAGGGACTCACTGAAGACATTTGGGCACATTGGTGAAAACAGCAGCAGCTCCAACTTCCCACAATTCATACATAACGATGCACAAACATTAATTATGCCTGTACACTCCACCGTTACTCAGTAACTACAGAACATCGACCACAACGGTTAGAAACGTTTGCTGTGACTCGGTTCAGAATCAGTTAAATATCGTCAACAATCACGACTCCAGAATCGTCCACAGCGGCTTTAAAATGAGTCCAAAACGATGAGAAGATTATAGATTAGTCAGAACCAGGTCCAGTGTTCAGACGGAGACACCTGGATGGATGTAGAACTGATCTGGTGTCAGGTTCTAGCAGAACCCAGATGTGTTCTTCCTCCTAAATGTCATGTGTCTATCTGCTGCACTGATGAAGTTCTGAGGCTCAGAAATGATGGAAAAAGTCCATTAAAGTGATCAATCTGGACCCTCCTCTGTGGACTTGAAGGACCTGGACCTCTGGAACATTCACAGTCTGAAGGTAGAACTCTGGTCAGTAGATACAGAACCAGATGTTCTGAGGAGGTTCTGGAGGAGCTTTGTTTAGATGTGACTGATGACCGTGTCCAGACTGTAAATCCTGATGACTGACAGTTTGATGTGTGAGAGCTGCTGAGCTGCTGCCTGGATGCTCTGATTAAAGACCTTTAATGTCAGTGAGGCTCTTCCTGGTTAAATAAAGGTTCATGTGTTTAAACTGCCAGTATACTAAACGTCTGGTTATTCTACATCTCAGCACCAGAGACACCTTCACATCCAGCAGATCAGACGAGCTTCAGACACGTCCTCTAAAGGCTTTCATGTGATGTTCTCTCTGTAGTTAGATCCTGTAGATCAGCAGCTCTCCTCCCTTCCTTCTAGCTTTCATTTCTTCAACCAGCAGCTCTGCACCGACTTCCTGACACACAAACCGCTGTTTCATCCGTCGAACACGCCCACACTTCCACACATCAGCGAGCTGCTGCCTCAAACGCTGGCTCTGAGTGTAGCGTCGCAGCGATACATGAAGGTAAATCATTTCTGTTGTCAAGTTCAGTCTGTGTGCCATAAACATGAGATCAGCTTTTACTGGGCTGTGAGGACGCGTAGACGCAGGATTGAAAGCAGCAGCACAGTGTTTCTGTGAGTTAGTGAAGCCAGAGGCTCAGCTGTAGTCCTCCTCTATGATTTATTATCTGTTATCACATCTGGCACCATGACTTCCTGTCAGATTAATAAAGTTTTATCTTTTAAATCAACCTGTACAAATAGTTGAATAAACAGAAGACAGATGAGCCTGGATGAGCTGCTTCCACGCGTAGCATGCAAATTAATGTAGTTTATCCTCGTTAACGAGTCACAGCAAAGCGTCAGGTTTAAGTTGGATCAACACGAATTACTGAGTTGATTGAAAAGTGAACTAGACGTTACCTTCATGTTCACGTAGAACAGGGTTCAGGGTCACCAGTTCTGTTTCTTTATTCTGTGATCCCACTTAAAGGAATACATTTGCAATGTAAAGAACATTTTGATCATCTCTTAATTAGGAAGTTACAGCCAGGACAGGGTTAGCTTAGCTTAGCATAGTCAATGGAAACGGAGGGAAAGTGTTAGCGGAGCTGTGAGTGCAGCGAACCAACGGGCGGTTCTTCTGGGTTCTAAACCTCGGTTCTAGTTTGCATTAAATAAACGTCAGATACATCGATATTCAGAACGTTTGTTCCCCGAATAGAACAGACAAGAAGCAGATTTGTGTTTGAGAAAAATTATAGATGAAGCTAAAAGAAAAATAAATGTTCTGTTCTTATTTTCAGATATTTTATTTAAAAAAACAACATTTTGATAATATTTTTGGACAGTTTTATATATAGTTGTAATAACTAATAATAATAATAATAATAATTTTCTTTACCTGCATCCAAATACAGGTTCTATTATTGATGGTTTGATATCCAGACATGACACCTCCTCTAAACCGTGTTTCCCAAAACGTTTCCTTTAAAATGATTACAGCTGTTTGTGTTGTAATGAATCCCAGCCACATTAAACCTGCTCAGTCTCTACCTGACCTCGTTCAGCTCCTCATCACAGAGGTTCAAGCTGATTTATTAGAGCCACGCTCCTCTGAGAGCAGAACGAACCTCCTTCAGTCCTCCTGCAGCTTCACAGTCGGTGCGTTTGAGACGTTCCCTCATTCAGGATCTGCTCTGAGCGGACCACCGTCTACTGCATCGTCTACACAGACTCTGATCTTAATCAGACTCAGACTGACTGTATTCAGCGTGAATCATGTAAAAGCTCTCGCTGGTGTCTTCAGTTTGCTGTCGGATGTGCAGCCGCGTCCAGAAATAGTTCTTTTATGACATAAAACTAAATAAAATCACGTCCAGCTGCTCGATAATAAACTAAATAAATTAACTGTCCTGGCTGTGGTTCAGCTCAGAGCAGAAGAACTCAGACAGAACGTCGTCAGAACTCAGACAGAACGTCGTCAGAACTCAGAACGTCGTCAGAACTCAGACAGAACGTCGTCAGAACTCAGACAGAACGTCGTCAGAACTCAGAATGTCGTCAGATTCGTGTCTACAAGCCGCGTTTCCAGACGAGTTAAGGAGTAAAGCAGCAGATTAAAGCTGACTGACGGTCTGTGGATGTGGTTCTGTGAGTGCAGATGAACAGCAGGGATCTAAACCTGGTACCTGTTCTAGAGGTTCTGACTGCTCTGCTCTGCTCTGCGGCCAGAACAATAATAGTAGCTGTGGTTTGTCGTGTGTCAGTGAGGACACTCATCAGCCTGCTGAGTTTCCTCCAGCTCGACAGGAAGCGTCTGCTGTCAGCCTGCTGTCACCACACTGGAGATAACCAGGTTAATAACTATGAGCAGCTGACTGCTAGTTTACAGCTCTGACCAGTTCAGGTTCAGTTAAATCCCTCTACAGGTCTGGATGTACCTGCTGACCGTTAAAACTCTGGACAGCTGCTTATTAATCATGATGTTTGACTTTACAGCCGGTTGTGTGCTCATCGTGTTAGATTAGAGGTTTTAATGGCAACACGTTGTCAGTGTTGTTCTGGAGCTCTTCGGCTGCGAGCCTCCAGGTTTCCGCTATCTGTCTGCTGTTTAAAGGTCACTGCTGTAGACGTGAGAGTTTCATGAATGTCTAATGAAACCACCACAATAAGCGCTTTATTAATACCAGCTACATGCTGGATCTGATGCTCACACAGTCACCTGTAAGTTTAATTAATAACCTGCTTCTTTATGGTCTGATGTACTGATTTCAGCTTGTTTTAGGCGTATAAACCCAGATCAAGGGCTGCTATGGCTCCAGATGTTTAACTATTCACAGTTGTATAGCTGCTGCATGCTCTCTGACTGAGTTCTGGAGAACCAGCCGGTCCCAACAGCTCAGAATGATGCGTCTCCATGGAAACTGTTCTTACCTGTCAGTTAGAGTTCTGAACGGTGCCGGCAGCATAAAGTCAGTTGGATCAAACATCAGCCTCCGGTTCAGAGGAACACCAGCTGTGACTAACTAACTACGCTCTGTGTGTCCAGGATGGAGTTCGCCTGCAGCCACGTGGTGTGTAACTGGAGGCCCCACGGAGAAGGTCAGTCCACAGCCGGAGCCTCCTGGACCCGGTACCAGGCGTCCAGTCAGACACCATGTAGAGCCACCACGGGTCAGGGTTAGGGACCGGCGGTTTGGGTTGATGCTCACCACCACACCGCCTGTAGTCACTGGCAACTAGTTTAGTTTAGTTTAGTAGTAACTGATTACTAACTAATAACTAGTTTAATTTAGTGGTAATAACTGATAACTAGTTTAGTTCAGTGGTAGTAACTGATAACTGACAATAACTAGTTTACTAACTGACAGTGCTGAGCAGTAACTGACTCAGAGGAGGCGGTCCACCCTCTGAGGCCCGTCCAGCTGTCAGAGTTCTGGTCCGTATCCTGGTCTTGTGCTCAGTTTTCCAGCTCAGTGACTTTTATGCAGGTGTGTGTGTCTTCCAGTGTTCTGGTCAGCTCACTGGGGTTTTACAGATTTTCTCTGTTTTATTAAAGTTCAGATTATATTTAATGAAATCGTAGAAAAACTGGAATAATTTACACATTAGCTGCAGTTTAAAAAGGAACAAAAGAAGCAGAGCAGACTATAAACCAGGGCTCCAGACACGTCTACCAGCTGGTCTTCAGAGGTGAACCCTCTGATGATCACGAGGCTGCGTTACTGTCGCAGGAAGCTGCTGCATTGAGCCCAGTGGTGGGGAGCAGGACTTTAACAACGTCAGTATTCTGCTGTATTTATGCTTAACAATGAGGTCTTCTCCTGAAAAGCACAGCGCAGATACACAGAAAACACCACAAGTAGAATCACTGGGCTTCATCTGACCAATCTGACATCCCAGCGCCCCAGTTTATTCTTTTTAAAGCCATTTTTAGTATAAAATATGTAAAAAATGTTGAGCAGGTCGTATGTTTTGTCTGTAACCAGGTGAGAAGTGCAAACAAACCAGTCTGGAGTCCTGTCAATGAAGTCCACGCTGAAAATCAGCACTTTAACTGTTTTTTTTGTTGTTTTTTTACAATATTTGACTGTTTATTTACACAGTTTTAAAGGATTTCAATCATCAAAAATATATTATTTTAAAAATATTTGCTGTTACTTGAAAGACAAGAAATGTGTCTTAAATATTAAAAAATAAAAAATGCTAAATGACATTTAAACTGTCATTTCACAGCTGTTTCAGATAACTATCAATAAAGAACTGTTTCAGAAAAATCCCCAAACTGTGAATAACATCCACATCAAAAAATCTTCATTTAATCAACAATAATGCATTTTTAAAAATTAACATTTAACTAATTTTTAATTCAATTATTATTTATTTTCTACTGTATTTAAAGCAGCAAAAATATCATTAGTGTAGCGATGACTGCAGTTATTTAAAAGAGAAATTATTAAGATTATAATTATTCACTGTCTAATAACATTATTGTAACGATATTATATGTCCAGATTTTCCAGTTTTGTTAAATTCTAGATATCTAGTAAAAAACTAAAACAGGTTTAATAACAAATCAGCTGTCAGGTTTTGATCTTTACAGACACGTTTGCTGCCAGATTCATGTTTAGTTCTGTGTGTTCTGTGGGTCGCTGCTGCGCTCGGTGGTTCCTCTGTTCACTGGGTTAGTATCTACTCGGTCCAGTCTGAATCATGAGGTCATGTAGTGTGATAACGGAGGTGTTCTTCTGCTCCTCAGGTGTGTCTCTCACCGTTCCTGACTACCACAACGCACCGACGGTTAAAGCAGACGAAGGTAAAGGTCGTGTTCTGCTGTTTTTCAGCACCGAGGGTTCGTTACGCTCTCAGGAGAATAATTCAGAGAAACAACAGGAAAACGTGTGAACGCCTCACTGTGTCTGGCTTCCATCTGCAGCCCACACACACGGCGTGGGAGATGCTCAGATAGCAGCTCTGCAGGGAAAGTCCGCTCAGAGACGCGCTGTCACGTCAGCTAACGGCACCAGAACAAAGGCCTCGTTAAGGCAGATTAAAGGCGTTTCTCTACATTTACAGCCTCGTGCTCAAAAACACCGTTTCTCACCACAAAGGCGAGTTGTGAGTGGAGCAAACGTCACCGGCTTCAGTGTGTGGCTCAGACTGGCTGCCGTGACGATGACACCTGATGCCGACAGTCTGTGCAGCGGTTACTTATGACCAAGGCGTCGACTGCTTTCAGCTGAACTCTGAGACTTTCAGACGTTCTTAGACCCAATCAGTTTTCTCTTTCTCCATCAAAACCACCCGTAAAGCCATTTTAGAGGCTGGATATCCCTCAGCCGTGACATGTCTGTAGCTTAGTCTCTCTTATTGTCGTACTACAGATGTTTAAGGACAGATGTGTACATGTACAGCCTCTACACACTCAGTGGAGTCGTGTTCTGTCTCCTTGTTTCTTAGGTGTCCTACTTTTATCTTATTGATCTCTACCTTTAAGACTTGTTTGAGGGATAATTAAAGTTTTAGTGTGTCTGTTCTCATTTTGGTTTGTGTGTCTGGAGCAGCTCAGTCTCTCTGTGGTCATTCTGGTTTTTGTCGGTTCGTGTCTCGTTCTTTGCCCTGAACCGGCTGAAACCAGCCACAGATAACAGACAAAGCCTGAGTCTAGCCTGTCCTGCCATGATGGATGGTGTACCGACAGGTGTCAGACCAAACCACAACCTGTAAATCAGCTCATGTCATGGCTGTGGGGGTTTATTTCTGGAGACACTGAATGTCAAAGCACATGTAGACTCTGACCCGACCCTGAGATGACGGCAGACCACTGGTACCTGAGCAGACTGACTCACCTGTATGACCTGCTGCAGAGGCCCAGGGTGACGGCTGCACCTGTCCTGACCTCCTCCAGGTGTCCTAACGCCTCCTGTGCCTCTCTGTGTCTGCAGTTGGCCCTCCGCTGCCTCCTCGTCGTCTGAGGACACTTCGGCCTTCCTCCCCGACCGTCCCTCCTCCTCCCGCGGACCGCCGACATCCAGCCGTCCCTCCTCCTCCCGC